ATTGATTACATTCAAGTCGTGCAGCCACTCACTATCCTTTTCAAATTATTACACCTTAATTAGCATAAATCCACTGCTCTCTGGTGTGAGCTTGTTTTACTTACTGTTGTTTAAATTAGCAAGTTATTCATTTGGCTCCAGTAATTTTTAAGGGGCAAGGGCAATATGTTGGCTCTTGGATAGAATTTCAAAATCTAAGAATTGGAAAATCGTTTTCTTGGAAGTACGGTAACAGCTTATTACTGAGACCAGTTAGAGGGTGTCTGCTGTTTGGGGGTCAAGAGGACATTACTTACAACATTTCACCAGCTCAATAAATAGTCTGAGTGCAAATCTTGTGTGTTAAAGGTAGAAAATAGGAATGCACATTTTCAAGGATTTTAGATCTAAAATTAATATATGAAAACTAAATAGATTTTAAGATGATCTTAATATACATTTAATGCTGGTAGCGTCCGTCTTCCAAATGTCATTGCTGTAAAAAGGCCTTACTTTATATTTACCTTTTGTGGCCTCCATATAGTTCTGTATTAAGTAGAATTTAAATAGATATTTATTGAATGAGTGGAATTGCTAAGAGTGTTTTATTCCAGGGCAAGGGATGGGAGGCCAAGAGGTGAGGATTAGCAAGGTACATTTGCATTGTTAATCTTTCCATAATCCCTCTCTTCTTTCAGCTTTTTGATGGTCACTTTGACACCAAGATTGGACACAAAGTGGAGAGTGAGAGTTATCGAAAGATTGCAAACAGCATTGGGTGCTCAACCAATAACATCCTCTTTCTTACAGACGTTACTGTAGGTGAGTCATCCTTACATTTCATATTCCAGGATGGGAGCTGAGCTTTGTGCTACGGACTCATTGCCTGTTTAAAGAAAGTTTATATGGGGATCCTTGGAAAATGAGGCTGTTTGACAAACAAACAAACTCACCCACCTCCCTCTTCATTTGTCAATTCATAGGGGTTGGTGAGGAGAAGTGGTATTCGAAATAGTTGATATTTTCAGTTCTTGCCATTTTAACTCTTTGTCTGTGATATCCTGCCCTTTTATTCTGTGCGTGCAAAATAACCATACAAGGGTATCATCGGGAAGGGGCATACAGGCAAAAATAAGAGACTAGGTACATGGTTGGTTAGAGTGGACCTGCATCAAAGGCTTTTAACAGCCATAAGATAAGTTACACAAACTCTGAAAAGATTAGTGAGAGAACGAGTGTGAGTAGTTTAGGCAATTTTGCCTATCATCCCAGTAGCAGAGCATCTTCCCACGGTCAGTAGGAACCTTGGCTCTGCCATTCCTACAGGTGGTCTCTGTTCCCCAGGTGACCTTCAGGCCTTACTGGGAATGATTGATCTGTTTAAAGGTTGAATGTACAAAAATCACATGTATGGATTGGCAGTGTAAGTGATTTGAGCTAGGAGTCTTTGTATGTAGTGATTATGCATTGGTCTGCTACCTGCAAGGTCAACAGTTTAAAACCACCCGCTAGTTCCTCAGGAGAAAGACGAGGTTTTCTACTCCCGTAAAATTAGTCTTGGCAGGACCAGTGGTGTGAGTAGCGATACTGGGAGTGTAGAGGGAGAGTGGATTGGAAAGGGAGAACCGATTACAAGGATCTACATGTGACCTCTTCCCTGGGGGATGGACAACAGAAAAGTGGGTGAAGCGAGATGTCGGACAGGGCAAGATAGGACAAAATAATAATTTATAAATTATCAAGGGCTCATGA